TTCTCGGTTAGCGAAAGTTCAATTATTTTTAGTTTTTCACGGAACATATTATTTTTCTGAAATGCCATAATATATCAATTTTGAGTTTCTTGTAGGAATAAGCACTATCTGATATTTTTCTATTAATTTTACGTCAAAAAACACTTTTTTCCATTTTTCCAAAAAATTCACATTTTCACCGAAATTTCATGGCTATAGCCCATGTTTTTTCCCAAATTTTGAAAAAAATTGTTTTTCCTCATATTTCAATACAAAGATGCTCTTGATGTAAGACTTTCAAAGTAGATATCCTTTCATCAAAATTCCCAATAGTTATTTGATAATCTGTTATCAAAATTTCGGCTATTTTCGATTTTACTGTCATTAGTTATATTGTAAAGAAAGAAGAACTTTAAAAATAAGACTATTCAAACAAAAACAAAACATCTGAAAGTCTATGACTATATGCAGCAAACTATATGAAGCTCAAAGAAAACTAAAATATTTTTACATATTCAAATGGTTTATTATGGTATATATGGATATGAAATAACAATATAGAATGTTACGTCATCTGGCCTTTTTGAACTTGAAAATTTTACAGTTAGGTTAGAATAAAGGCCAATATGATGCTAAATACAATTTTGTTTTTTACATAATGATTCACTTCTATTAATGCATACATTAAATTGAAAATCTGGTAAATCAATGTGCATCCATAACTATATTAAATACAACTTTTATTTACATATCATCGAGCTTGATCACATACAAATTAAAAACCAATATCCATAACTAGAACAGCACAGGTCGTACTAATTTTTGAGGGAAAAGAAGAACAAATAAAAACAAAATAAGCAAAACCACATGCACACTGTGTAACTATTAAGAAATCTATTTGCACTTTTAACACACTGATATAAGCTATATATTTCAAAAATAAACAACATATCAGTTAGTGCTAGAAATAGCATATTATGATTATACCATAGCCACACATTACGGTGACACTTTTCGCTACTGTCATGTTAACCTGTTATAGTACATTAACCTGCGCTATGTGTACACGTATCCAAAGAAACCCAGAATACATCACTTCAATCCTCCCACTGAAATTCCACAATAATGCATTTTTTCACACAACCCTACTAATTTGAAACCACTGTCACAACAGTGAGTAGTAGTAGCAAAAAGAAATCATGGTTTCAGTGTCCTTCTAATACCTAATACTTGTATAGCAAAAAAATCCAGTGAATGAATATAAGTATTAATCATAAACCAAATGTAAAAGTTACAATATCATTTCTTGAAATCTCCTTGAATATTCCTACATGGAGCTACTGACCTGAAAATACTAACATACCTGACTAGAATCAAGCAACTATTCATAAATAGAAGTGTCACAGAAAACACAGTAGGATTAAATTTCACATTCTTTTACATTTTTTTAAATATTCCATTATTGAAATCTGCTCCATATACTCCTGTACAGAGCTAATGAGCTCAAAATCCAAACATATGATTAGAATAAAGCCATAACCAGACTGAAAATAACAATTTTACATTTGTTTTAAACATGGTAGTATTCTTTAAGTTGGAAGAAAACAATTAACAGTCAAAATGAAGCATCTAAAAACTTTTTCTTTTTTGTCTGCCTTTCATTACTTAGTACATTTTTATTTCATAAATCTAATAATTCACATTATATCTTCAGTTCCTACAAATCATTGTTTCATTTGGTGATGTATTTCTGCTTATAATGTTTCAGGATCTAAAGATAATTAAATTATTGGTATTTCCTGGTGAAACAAATTTACAGGAACTTTCCAGTTTAGGAACTTAAAATTACAGCTAATAGTAAAGTATTACCAAAAGTCCTAATAATGCTAAACTAAGGAATTTCATATACTTAAAGGTCAATAAAAAATGTTTTTACATCTAAAATAATGTCTCACTAAAATACATAATGTTACCACATAACAAACACACATCTTATGTGTGATGTATTGTTGTCCAAATGTTGTTGTTGATATGTACAAGCATACATATAAATGTTGCTCAACTACATAGTGTAATTTAATATACCTAGCACTATCTCACTGCATCGAATCACAGAGATGTATCATAGTCCTGTGATTACAACAAACTCGTATCATGATAATCCTGATGTGAATTTCTGTAATCACAGAGAAAAAGATAATACTGATTTAATTGGTATGAAAAGATATGAAAGGAATCAGTGTTGCAGAACAGTAATTTAGTAGCTTATTCATAGATACCTTATAACTAACTTAGTGAACAGTAACAGAAATACACAACCTATTGAACATTGACAGTGTTTACAGCCAGTGAAATGAGGTATATTTTTACATTTTTGTTAGGTCCCTAAACAGTATTTCATACAAAAAGTCTTAAGTTTTTATATAACCTGTCTAGAAAATTACATATAAAACACTATGATGAAGAACAGTGGACTTCAAATATTGAATATAAATATTTTTCTTAGAAAATTTCGAGTTCAAAGTGTAAACTGAATTTAATAAAATATATACAACAGTGATTACTTTAGTATTCACTTTGAGAACTGACTTGTAAAAGAACAACTACTAATTTATTTAAAATATTATATTCTCACTGCATCATTCCAGAGAGCATTATATTATATATATATGTGTTACATCAAATTTTCGTTATACTGTTTACTGCATATCAGGTAGAATTATTTTTCTTTCCTTTATAGATATCCTGTTAGTAAAATTACAATACCTAAAAACATAAATGTTTTATTATTACAATGAACAATGTTTTACTTTCTTTTAGACTCTACTATAAGCTGCTTATAAAATGGGTCTTCACAAAACATATTGTTACTTACACATCTGTACTGCTTTATTCCGTGTCTGCTGTTATATTGACTTAATTTCATACAGTTAGCAGTCTTCCTGAACAAACAGAACATGGGTGGAAAGTATCAAGAACAGGATTCTGTGTAAGATTGGAACTTTCAAGTTCTGTAAAGAGGTCAATAATTTTCTTTGCTGTTTGATTATCACTTTTGTGAATATTAATACCATCAACTTTTTTTAATGTATTACAGTCTTTCTCAGTACACTTTGGAACATCTGTTAGAAAGAAAAGAAAAAAAAGAAAATCTTATGAAAACATATAAATGAGACAAACAAATGTAACACCAACTTTAGGTCTTAAATTTTAACTTGGATTCCAAAACTCTCACTATTATTTTCTTAAGAAACTTTATAAATTTTATCTATTTGTGAAATTTTATTTAATAGTTACTTTATAAATTTTATCTATTTGTGAAATTTTATTTAATAGTTACTTTATAAATTTTACCTATTTAGGAAATTTTAATTAATAATTCAACAGCCTTCTTAAAAACTAGTACAGTCAAAACAAAATTCATATTTGTTATATAAAATGAAATAAAAATAGTATCATGATATATTTATTAGAGAATTATACTTCAGAATAAATAAAAAACAGTTTAGTAAATAATTCCTATTTTCATAATGTAATAAATCTTACATTATACTATAGTGATGTTTTAATTCTTTGTTTCATCCAAAATTATCTTTTTTATAGGAATTATTATTTTTTTAATTTGTTGAAATGTCTCAAACTCTATTAAGTGTTTTTCTTTTAAGAGGATTGTAGCCAAAATGTAACAAATAACAACATATTTATTTGACAAAACATATTATGAGAAGAAATGGATAATACTGTCCTAGTCAATTTGACTTATCATCACATTCATCATTGTTACTTGCTTCAGTGCATTTAAACTGTTTGAATCTTTATTGAATTTTCATGCAAAAACTACTCAAGGACTATCTGCAATAGTCATCCCTGATTCTGAAGTGACAAACTATATGAAATGCAGCTAGTGAACACTACCCATCACCAACTCTTGGGCTATTCTTTCCCAATGAATAGTAGGATTAACCATCACATTATATGCCACCATGGCTGATAGGGTGAACATGTTCAGTGACAAGTTTTCATCCCATGACCAGCAGATTGCGAGTTGAGTGCCCTAACCACCAGGCCATTTCAGAACCATTTCAACATTTTTAAACATGAAAAACTTGCTAACCATATATGACAATGTGAGAAAAGAAAAACAGCATAACAAAATGTAGGTTTTCAAATCTTGAGATGTATTACAGATCATGAAAATGTTACAAAAAAAATTTAAAACCACAATCAATCAAAAAAGTCTCATACAAAAAATAAATATTATTTAAGCTTTTAATATACAGTGTATTAATATAGTAGAATTAAAGTCTGTCAAAAGTCTGTCACCTTGAGTATATAATATTAGAATATTCATTAAAATATTAAATTTTTTGATATGTCTTAATAAACTTTTAAGAATACAATTACAATAGTTATTTTCCTATGGGAGAAACTTATATCAAAATAACCAGAAAACATTTACAAATTTATATCTGTAATATTCTAAGCAACACTCCTAACAAGTTTAAGCAAAATTCTAAAAATATTTTGTAGATAGATACTGTTTATAAGAATTTTGCTTATGTTTCATTAGACTTAATCATAACTGCAAAAACTATCACAGAAGCTATATTTGATTATATTTCGAGCAATTAATAGATCTCCGAATTCATGACTTACATTTTTTATAAGATCTATAGCACTTTCTCCTACATATAGTTGATACACATCAATTTCTTAACATTTTTTTAATTATTCAACTGCATCTTTGTTCTGCTACACTTACCTTTAGATTGGCATTTCTTTATTTCTAGTACTGTTGGTCCATGGTAATTATTGTCTGGTAGCGTATGCAAGGAATTGTTCTGTATTTGCTCCCTTTCCTCCAACAACTGAAAAATTAGGCTCTGCAGTTCACTGAGCTTAGCCTACAATGTAACAACGTAAATTACGTGTGAATCTTTTTTTATAAAAGAAAGTTAACAATTCAAGTTATTTTATCTAGGTTTTGGTCCACTTATAGATGTAGTTTCCTCAATGCTTGATTCCTGGCTATTTTGTTTTTCTGTAGCCATAATACCAAACTGTTATAAAAGAACTGATGCTTGACAAAGAAACAGTTGATGAGTTCCTTTAGAATGACAGAATAGGATTTTGCATTCCTATTCACTTTAGTATGCAATTACTCAGATATGCAGCTAACATAAGATGAAATAAATACAGAAAGCAAACACAAGTGTACAAATAAAACAAAGTCTTTATTCATATGCACAAAACATATTGTTGGAGCTTATTTAGTGTGGCAAGCTTCTGTGTTTGGCATGAACAGACTTCCACTAACTGTTAGAACAAAGAAGAGGCGTATCTACTGAAAACAAAAAAAGCAAGAATCATAATGATACCACACTTTCAAGTCAGACTGAAATTCTAGTGAGGTATTGCACAATCCTAGGTTACTCGCATCAATGAACATTCCTACTACACATTTCAGGATAATAAACTCTCAGCTCATACTAACTTGTACACTTCTCTGTACTATACTCTGAAATGAGTATAACCTTGCTCCAGGTTTGATCATTTCAAATATTTCCACAAGGCAACATAAAAGACATCCACATTAGCCATAGTTAATTTTGTAGTGATAAGCTACAGAGAAGGCAGCTAGTCAACAGTACCAAATACCAATTCTTGGGCTATTTTAATGGATAATTGTGATTTGACCATCACTCTTATAGTACAGTTATGACCAAAAGAATGTATATCATACTGCAACAAAACACTATAGAATTTCACAGCCAAGCATGCAAATCAGTAAGTCATGTCTCCCCCTCTTTGCTTCAGAAACATGATTAAGCAAGTATAAACCAATCTCAGTAATTATTGTTGTATGCAATTGTTGTCTAAACTAGAGAATCAGTGAAAATTTCATTTTTTACATCCTGTTTAAGAGAATGCCAGCTAACTAAATGTAGAAAACTTCAAAATAAATCTGAAAAATTTACCAACACAAACCTGAATAGATATATTGTTTTCTACTTGTGGAAGGGTTAAATTAGTAGTTTTTCAACTTGGACAACTCCCTTTTTATTATCAAGGTATTTTTCATGTCTGAACCTTAACATTAAAAGTTGAAATACCACATTTACAAACTAACTAATGATATTAAAGGTTCCATCAACCACCTCCTTAGATTATATGTATGATGCCATGATAGTTCATGGTCACAAACAAAGGAAAAATATTCCTAAAATACTCAAATAGCAAGTCAAAATAAGTTCAAAAACTAAACTAAACAAGATCAGAAAAAAATAAAATTAAATGAGGGAAATAAAATAAGCTATGCAAAACTAAAATTCATAAACATTAAAATAAATCATAACAGAGTCACAAAATAAACTGAATAAGAATTTTTTTAAATTACATAAACATTTTATACTAATATACAAATTTAACATAATTAGATAAATTTGAATTTGCTAATACAGGTGGCCTTAATCTCCACATGTGTAAAGATATACAAGCCCAGAAGAATTGAGAAAAAGTCTTTCATAGAGAAAACAAGATCTGAAATCAACTTAGGGAGTAGTATCGATGAAGTATGTGTTTAAATTGATTTTTTAAAGTGTAGCTGTGTTTATCAACATATGGATGACAAGAGTATATAGTAAGTTTGGGTAGTCTAGGTGGATTTGTGAGTTTCTTAGTTAGAAAGGTAGTGGGTAGCCATTACATTATAGGATACTTTATATAGAGATAGATTTGATACTTGAATTAGATAAATGAACTACATAGCATCTTGCAAAATTAATTATCAAATAAAAATATCAGCCAGTAAACATTTAAATTCAAAACCAAAAGTTAAAACTGAAGATAAGGTCAACTAAAATGGTACATAATAAAACAAAAAAATATAGCAGGAAACAAATACAATACAAAACAAAAACACTGTAAATTCAAAATACAAAATAATAATAATAAAAAACACAGTTGATATCAAATTATAGATACATATATAAAAATTTATAAACTTGGACCTCTCAAGTGCTAAGGTACCTTGGTTCTTGAATCTCTTCTGATATATATAATTAATTGTAATATTATGTAGAAAAAGAAAGAAAAAACAAACAACGCAGCTACAAAACAGACATGTACCACCTGTAGCATATGTTGTATATACTGTGTTAAGTTCATGCTATT